TATCACTAAAATGGGTCTCTTTCTCTTCTTTTTCAAGCTCACATGCCAAAACAATTTTGGCTCGAAGCTTTCTCATCAGCTATTTATCTCACTTACTTCAAACCCCTACACTTTTGGGATATGTCCTAGTTATTCCTATTACGCGTGCTCATAGGTTGACTGCCCAATGCATCCCGAATCAGGTCTCACAAATGTGCACTTTCCTTGTTTTTGGGTGCTGCTGCTTTCATTGTCTATGCCACTATCAATTTGACAAACTCAACCTAAAATCTATCACTAATTATTGCTCCTATTCGAGATGCATTCTAGGTTATAGTGACTTTTACAACGGGTATCGTTGTTTGGACAAACAAAAAATTTATTGAAGATGTTTTTTGCTTTTGCGTTTATTTCTAATCCACCATCATATATACTTCCATTGTCGTTTTTCCATTTTGTTTTGCCTTTATGCATCTCCTTCACAGCTCCTTAATCCGCCACTTCTCCGACAACATCTTGTTCCACTTCCGACTTTGACATACCTCTGCCTCCTATTTCACCTCCTATTCTTTCTTCCACACCATTCTCTCCATCCTCTCATCCACCTCGTCACCCAGAGTCACTAGACCACAAGATGGTCCCTGCAAATCTCAAGTCTCTATTAATGTTCACTTGCTGCTTTTCTCTCTACTAATGTTCGCTTGTCGTTTTTCTCTCTACTAATGTTAGCTTCTATTGGTGTTGGAATCCGCCTCTTATTGCCAAGTATCTAAGGATTCCACTTGGAACTTGGTTCGAGTTCAACCCACTATGAATATTGTTAGTTCTAAATGTGTGTACCACATCAAACGATGCAATGATGGAACCATTAAGCAGTACAAGGCTTATTTTGTTACCAAGGGTTTTCAATCAACAACCTAGGTTGGACTTCACTAAAACCTTTAGCCCAGTTGTTTAGCTAGCTACAATTTGCAGAGTCTACTCCATGGCTCTCTCTAAGCAAAAGGTCACACTTCAATTATATATCAAGAATGCATTTTTTCATGGTGTACATCAAGGTGTACATCAAGAAGAAGTGTATATGAAACAACCAATTCTTCATAAGAATATGTACACTTGTTTGCATGACTCAACAATTTTATTCTCTCTTGTGGGTTTTGTTGCCTTCTACAATCACAGGGGAACAGGGTTTTAAATCAAGCATTTTAGTATGTTTTAGAAAATCCAAGTATATTTGTTTTGGGGACAAAGAAAAATAACCGAAGAGTGAGTAGTCTTAATCCTATGGAAAAAAATCAACACAAGCGAGATTAGTTATGGTAGATTCAATGTTGAGCTTTCAATTAAAGCTTTATAAATTTATAATGAGGACTAATTTTCACTGGTTAGAATTATGTCATCAATATATAGCAGAAGAACAAGGATGCTAGCTTGTTGATCGACCCATCAATTTACGGGTGAGTGGTAGCAAATTATCTTGTGATCCCCAAATCAATCCCCGAAGCCGAGTCATATCACTTGATTATTTGTAGTAGCCCGACAGTAGGCCTCGCAAAGTGAGGAGATGTTGCAGCTTCATGTGTTATATCCCACGTCGACTTAGGAGGGGGAGTGATTGGACTATTTATGTGGTATACTCACCCTTAACTAACAAGAGGTATGGGCATTCAAAACGGATAATATCTTGATAGTTGGGGCAGGTCGTTAAAGGTACTATCAGAGCCGACTCTTCTACAGCAGGTTGGGGGGGGGGTGTGGAGTGTAGTAGCTTGCCCATAGGCCTTGCGAGGTGAGGTGTTGTAGTTTCATGTGTACCATCCCACATCGACTTGGGAGGGGGACTGACTAGGCTATTTATGTGGTGTGCTCATCCTTAACTGTTAAGAGGCCTTTTCTGGGCAGCGCCCCGGAGAAACAAAACTGTGAGAGTGTCTTGTCATCCAGAATGGACAATATCTTGATAGGTGGGGCGGGTCGTTACATTATTGGAGAGAGATATTATGTGTTAAATCCCCAAAAACTTGTCATATCAAGATCTCGAGATCGTTCTTTGTCACTTGATTATTGGAGATAGAGATTTAGGAGTTAGCTTTCCTTATAAGATGTATTTCTTTTGTTATATATCTTCATATGTAGCCGTATGGAAATATGCAACACTTCAGGTCATTCTGTTAAGCTCATGCACATGTATAGCATATGGACATATATATTGTCTAAACTCCTTTATTTGGAAATTTTGTCTCCACTTATCTATAAATGAAGCCATGCTTGGATATGTACTAATAAAATCAAAATTTACTTGAGTGCTGGGTGGTAGATTGGGTACATCCAAATGTTGAGGACTATTGCACAAAGCAGTTGTCTCATATTTGAACACTTGATTTTATTGTTGGTAGCCTGAGCATTTTACGCAACGTTTGGGAACGTATAACGTCCAAGTCAAAATAATAACTGCTAGGGTGATTTATGATGATTAAGATATTTACTATATAAGAGAACCCTCATTTCACGTCCACACACTAGCACTCATCTAGGGTTTCTTCTGCCGCCATGGCTCAAAAAAAATCTGTAGGGCTTTCTGCTTGAAATACAGTCTTCTAAGCTTAAGCTGCTAGATGTGAGATTGGCAGTAGAGGAATACCAATCAGCAAGAACAGCCAGGGTTCTAGCAGAAACTAGTTTGCTTACACATCTAAAGAGTGAGTTTTTGTTATTCTTCTACTTGCTTTTTCTCCACCTCTGGTCCTTGTCCTCTGACCTTGCTATCCGAGATAGAGTCGATTCCCTTCCCATCCCCATCCTACCCCTCACAAAATTGATTTTGATTCCATGCCTTGTCGATAATTTGTGATCTGCATTTACGCCTATCTTATTCAATTTGGATAAGAAATGCGCTTGACACTGATTCTACGACTAACATGCCAGATTACTTTCATTTCCATTTTTTTCATCTCTATATTCCCTCTTATCAGCTAATTTTGCACATAGTCAAAGGCGATTTGATGTGTGGTGCTTTAGCTGGATTTAATGGGAACTGAATTTTCAAGAAAGTAGATTCCTCATTTGGTATCATATTATCTACTAAGAAGGACAATAATTAATGAAATATTATGAACTTTTGTGAAGATTTGCAATTTGTCCTCTTTGGGAAGTAGTTTTGCAGCTTGTAATTGGTGACGTGTAAAATTTTAATTAATAGCACACACTCTAGCAAGCTTGGTAGATTTTCACGCAACCAAAACACTAGGTAGATCTTCTTTGCCAAAGATAGAAGGTGTCTTGCCCTTCTAATATTTTGGCTCGTGTTGCATTGCTGTCATCAAAAGGCCCCAGGTGGAATCTCATTTTCAAAAAAAAAAAAAGAAGAAAAAATTAGCCAATTTAATGGATCGATGAATTATTACCTCTCCTTGTAGAAGTCCTACTGCTTATGTATGTATGATGTTCAATACTGTTCAGCGATACTTTGAAGGAGTGTGTTTTGGTGTTGTTGCAGAAGAAGACTCTTTGGCCATACATTCACTTTTGACTGTTAAGGAGTTTTTGTTTTTATTAGAGGCCTTATTGTTCTTTTGGGTTGGTATAAAGGTTAACTGTAACTATTAGTTTTCAGGGATATTCAGCCCTTGTTGTCTTAGGTTATTGGTTTCTTCCCTTTGTTTACTATTTGTATAAAGTGTGTCCATGGTTGCCCCCTTCCACTCTAATGAATATTAAGTAGAGGAGTTCTTCTGAATTTTTTACTGGTAGTGACTGTTGTTCTGTTTGGGACAATCTGCTGGACAGCCTATAAACAATGTGCTCTAAATATGGGATAGCAGCTATGTTCTTTGTGCACGTGTTTTTCTGGTTCTCTTTTGACCATTGCAATTGCTTGGAATTGAAAAATGAAGACAGATTTCAGTAATGGTAAATGCATGTCATACTCCCAGCAGAATGAAGAAAAAAGGTGCAACACTATCATGCTTGGGATATGCACCAGCGTCTGTGCTGGTTTGTGCATTTTGCCAACTGTGGTACTGCAATTAAACTGCGGGAATATCCTGGAGAAAGGGAAACAAGAGTTGTTGGGTTTTTCTGGGTATGAGTAATAATGTGGATTACCTACCCCACACCCCTCCCAAAGAAAAGGAAGAAAACAGAAAAAAAAATAGATTTGTTTACTTTGAATGTAATTGGGTTGGAGCTGGGGGGAGGGGGGCCAATTCAACTAGAACTGCGCTGATAATGTTCTTGGAATTATTCTCTTTCGCAGATCAAGGCCTTCTCCTGGAGTGAGTGGAACCAACAGGTTAGATGAATCTTTCGAGTCTGCTAAACCTAGTTCCTGTAGAGCAATGAGAAATGAGCTGCAGAGCTCCATGCTGGATGAGAGGGAAATACCTAAAGGAAACAATAAGTATGTAGCCCCTTGCTAACACGTGTCTTTCTTGTAGTATCTAGTAGAGCTGCAGAAACAATGAAACCATCAAAAGTGAAGAGCATCGATCTGGGCTTTCATGTTTTTTCTTTGCATTTCTTTGATATCTATTTTCCCCAATTTTTGACTGATGGGAGATAAATTTATTTGTGGCTTCAATTTTAGGTTTAATCTTCAGGAGGTGAACGTGGCAGGCAGTCTGAGAAGTACTATAAAACAGAAGGTTTCTAGAGCAGCGAGGACCAGTTTTGTGTCAATGGTAGGCTCATCTCCTGATGTTCAACCCTCATCAGCAGTTCTCGAGGGTTGTGAACAGCATACAAATGAAAGTAGAGACTCTGCATTGGGCATTGCAAATGTCCCGAAGCATCCAACATCTACAGATTCATCTGCTCATCATATGGCTCAGTGGGTTGGTCAGAGACCACATAAAATCTCACGCACAAAGAGAGCCAATCTTGCTGGTCCAGTCTCAAACAATGATGAAGCTCAGATATCATCTGAAAGCCTTACAACATCCGATCTTAGTGCTAGAACTCCTTCTCATGCAACCAGCAGATTGCATCTTAGCAGCATAGACAATAGCAATACCAAATTGAAAATGAAATCAGAGACTGTTTCACCTCCTGTTGGATTTTCTCAAGGTGAAGATTCAAGATGTGGAGAGAACAAGTTGAAAGAAAAAGCAGATACTGGTGAGGTTTCTGTAAATGCAGATTGTAAAGCTGGGGCTTTATTATTGCCATCAAGGAAAAATAAAACAATTTTTAAGGAAGAAAATGAAGATGGTACAAAGGGCGAAGTTTGGACTGGGGGGTTTTCATCATCAACTAGACCATACATTTCTCAGACAAGGAAGAATGGAGAGAAATTACATGTAAGGAAGACACTTCAAAGGATGAAGTGTACCTCTGATAAAAATAAGAGGTAATGAATCGATTCTCTGGAAAAGATGAGGAAAGTTTAAGTTTTAGTTGTTTTCATATTATTATTATTACTGACATATCTGAAATATTTATCAAGTAAGTATGGCCGTCCACCTTCAAAGAAGCCAACCGATCGCAAGACTTCGTTTTGTACCCAGCATGTGATAAACTGTGGCTCCTCAGATTTCACAGGTATAACTAATTAAATTTTAGGTCATATTTGTGACACATGTTTGGATATTCTGGTTTGCAATTTGTCTACTCAAAAGATACTGCAAAAGTCTTCTTGTATTTCACCTCCATTGGACAAATATAAACTTTTATTGTTCCATTTCTGGTCTGATGCATGAATATATATTGGTATGATTATCGTTACATTCATTTTAGGTTAATGTTTTCTGCGAGTCCTAGTAAATGTTGCTTCTATCTCTTATTGGAACATGTATTTTCTTGATAATGCCCACCAATTTTTTTGCATGTTTTCCACATTTGTTTCATATTCTTTTTGGAACCCTTCTAGTAATGCCATTCACTTTTTCCAAATGTTTTGGTTGGTGGTGAGGTGGGTTTTGGCTCACTGGTAAGATTTTGTGACATAGGCTTCACGGTTTCAGTCATGAAAACATCCTGTGAGCACGTGGGCTGTGTACATTTGACCCTTCTCAGAACCCAGGGGCGGGAAACTTGTGCACTAGGCTGCCCTTTAGTCTTTTAATTGGTTGGCGGTGCTTGAAAAATGAAAAATAGCTGAAACAAGAAGAAGATAACACAAAAATTGTCTTGACATCCTTGGAGACGATAATAATGTATTTGTAGTTTACAATTGTTCAGGTAAATCATTTGATGATCATGAAGAATTATTAGCTGCTGCAAACTCTGCTTGTAATGCTAGCAGTAAGCATCTGTCATCTGGGTTAATTTTTCCCTTTACTTTTCAATAAAAGTTTTCTATTTTGCATACTTATTTCAATTCTAATTCTGTTATGCAGAGGTTTCCTGTTCTGGTCCATTTTGGAAGAAAGTGGAATACCTCTTTGCTTCTGTCAGCTTTCAGGATGCAGAGTACTTGAAGCAGCGAGTAATATCTGGATAACAGAATATGCATGAGTTCATTACCTCCTTGTGGTTCTAGACTTATGGATGCTAATATTCTGTTTACTTTCTCGGTTTTGGTTTGGAAACAGCTGAATCGTGGAGAGGAGCTCCTTGAGAGTCTGTCTCAGATTATTGGTGACGAATATGATGCTTTGGTACTTAATTAGCATTATGCTTCATTATATTTTCTTACCTGCATTAATCAGTTGCGGACATTTCACTGCATTTGTGTATTAAAGATAAGTTGTTTAAATCTAATATCTCAGGGTTTACTTAAGCACAAAAACGTGCCTCTTTATTCTGGTGGAAGACAAGAAAACACCTCAACTCAAGAATCAGTCAAATCTGATGTGTTATTTGATGGGTTTGACATGGGAAGGAGGTTTGACAAAGTTCCTCCACTGTATCAGAGAGTTTTCTCTGCTCTAATTGAAGAAAATGTTAGTGAAGAGTCATATAATCAGAATGAAGGCAGAAATAAGTCCATTCAGTGCACAAGTGATGATTCTCATTGTGGTTCTTGTAACCTTATTGATGTTGAACTAAAAGATAGGGACCGAACAGAATCTGAGGTTGAGTCAGAAGTAGATTTGCAGACTCAGAAGCATTGTTTACTGGATAGATTTTCATGTAATAGGAGTGCTTCACCTAACACCAATAGTAACCGAAGTGTATCCAGTTCTTTATGTTCCAATGAACAATGGCAATCGGATGATTGCTTGTCATATCCGGATGCAGGAGTTCTCCCTGGGAGTTGTCAGAATGATCTGGGTTTGCCAAATTCTATGCAAGTTGATGGTTCTGCTAATTCCTCATCAGGCTGTGAATACCAGAAGCTGTCCCTGGATGACAGGTTACTGCTGGAGCTACAGAGCATTGGCTTGTATCCAGAGACAATGGTATGCTCCTATAGCGGCAATGTAATAATCGCTTATATGATCCTCACACCTTACATTTTCATCATTTTCCTTATTTTTATTGTTTATAAGTTACACTTTCATCATTTTTTACTGTGCATGCGTTGCAGCCTCATCTAGTGGAAAGAGCAGAGATTAATCAAGATATTGTGGAACTTCAAGGGGGTCTGTACCAGCAGGTTGTTTCTTGTACTCAAGTAGTGTTGTCCTGTTGGTCTCAAATTTGGCATCTCTTTTAGTTATGACATTTAATTTTATTCATTTTTATTTAATATTTTTACAGGTAGGAAAAGTGCAGAAAAATTTAGGGAAAATTGAGAAAGCTATTCAACGTGGAACAGTTGTAGAACGACGGTAAGAGCACATATTGGTTGTGTTCTGGATGATATTAGTCATTTTAGCCTATTCCGGATAAGAACACTATAATTTGGTTTGCAGGAACATGGAACAGGTTGCAATGAACCAACTGATTGAAATTGCTTACAAAAAATACATGGTAATTGATATCTTGCTCGTTGATTTAAGTTCCAGTTCTGTCCAATTCTGATGCACTAAAATCTAATATTGCTTTCTGTTTGAAACTACTACAAGCACATATGGTGTTCTATTGTATTCAGTGGTAAAACAATACAAGTAACTCTAATAATCAAAAAATTTGTTAGATAAAAGAACTTTAGCACATATGAAAAATATTAAGTTTTTGTATATTTGTTTAACAAGAACACCATTGATCAATTTCTTTCCGAAAAGAAAATATTTATATCTTTTCCATGTTGCGGATAGATGAATGCCAATAGCACCAGAAAGGATGCTTTTTTTTAACTGATGCCCAACAAAAGGGAACACCGGGAAACATCCGTACCCTTTAAATGAAAACCATACTGCCCAAGACATCCTGACGAGAAAGTAAATACATCAGGATCTCATCATTGGGCTATAAGAAAGGAGAGCATTAAATTGAGAACTCAGCTGTTAAGTCTACATTTTAACCCCCTCAAAGTCCTTCCTCTCCTTGCTGCGCTCGAACTCATCCTTTTCCCTGTTGTGTCGTATTTGATCGGTTCTCCAATCTTCTCACTGGTTTAAAAACTTTCTAAGGATACCTACCGAAAAGTGCCCAATTTTTCTCCCAACCCAAGCCGATCGCTCTTCCACCTTTCTCATTCTCGTACCATCATCAGGATCCTTGTCATTCATGAAAAGTAGAGGCCTAATGGGTTCACATTTCCCCAGTAATGTTTAAATAGTAACTGGAGGACATTCCAGTGTTAATGATAATTCTTCCTCTGAGTTCCATTACACCAGCCCAATTAAGGCACTCCCTTCCTGCAACCAATATCCCCTCTCCCCAGTGATTCTGTTCAATTAATCTCACTTGGAATAAACGTAAGTGAAAGGGATTCTCAAATTAAGAGTAGAGCCCCGTATATATATCCAAAAATAATACAGAGTGACTTAAACATCCTTGTAGTTTAGGCAAAATATAAAAATCATAGTAAGGGTAAAAAAGGAAAAAGAAATCCTAATAAACTAGACTATCTATACTCCAACACTCCCCCTCAAGCTAAGCGCAAAAATGTCAATTAAGCCAAGCTTGACAACGGAGTCCCGAAGAATAGACAGAGTGACAGGTTTGGTAAAAACATCCGCAACTTGATCACTGGTCCCCACAAACGATGGAGTAACAAGACCACTGCTGACCTTCTCCCGAAGAAAGTGAACATCGATCTCTATATGCTTCGTTCTCTCATGTAGTACAGAGTCAGAAGCGAGCTGAATAGCAGATTGATTATCACAATATAATGTGGATGGAGAGGTCACTGAAAAACCCAACTCGTCAAGAATCGATCGTAGCCAGATAATCTCACATGTGCCAAGTGCCAATGCCCGATACTCTGCCTCTGCGGACGAGCGGGAGACAACTGCCTGCTTCTTGCTCTTCCAAGAGATAAGATGAGTCCCTCGAAAAGCACAGAAACCCGTAGTAGATCGACCATCACATGCTCCCCCATAATCTGAATCTGAATAACAGGCTAGAGAACCGGTCTGAGATCCTGATGCATAAAACAACCCAAGTCCATGACAAGACTTGAGGTACCGAAGAATATGATAAACTGCATCAAGATGAGGCTGACATGGCCTATGCATGAACTGACTAACTCGGCTGACTGCGAATGAAATGTCCGGCCTAGTATTGGCTAAGTAGATAAGTCTACCTACCAATCTTTGATAAACTGTCGGATCTTTCAACTCCTCACCTTCAGCAGTAAGCTTCAGGTTTGGAATCATGGGTGATGATGCCGGTTTGCACCCCAACATCCCAGTGTCTGAAAGAAGATCCAAAACATACTTTCTCTGAGAAAGAACAATACCTCTGCTTCTACGAGCAACCTCAATCCCAAGAAAGTATCGCAGAAATCCAAGATCCTTCACATCGAAGGCCTTCCCAAGGTCTATCTTGACCTGCGCAGTCCCAGAAATATCATCACCAGTAATAATAATATCATCAACATATACCAGAAGGATGACACACTGTCCAGAAGTATTCCGTCGAATAAAGCAGGTATGATCAGAATGACACCTGGTGAACCCCAATCGTATGACTACATCACTGAAGCGAGAGAACCAGGCTCGTGACGACTGTTTCAGTCCATAAAGAGACTTACGCAGTCGACATACCTTTCCAGCATACTCCCCCTCGCCACGAAAGCCCGGTGGTGCATCCATATAAATAATCTCGTCCAGATCACCGTGAAGAAACGCATTCTTCACATCTAATTGATGAAGAGGCCAAGAGTACTCCGCAGCCAGAGAAATAATCAACCGAACAGTAGTCAATTTTGCCACGGGGGCAAATGTAGCACCAAAATCACGACCTGGTACCTGAGTAAAGCCCTTCGCCACAAGTCTAGCCTTGTAACGATCAATAGTACCATCCGCAAGAAACTTCAGGGTATAAACCCAGCGACAGCCAACAGGCTTCACCCCTGAAGGTAAGGAGACAAGATCCCATGTATGATTACGCTGAAGAGCGTCCATCTCTGTCTGCATGGCAAGAACCCACTGGGGCTCCCGCATAGCTTCCGAAATAGAGCGAGGAACCGGCGTATCTGATAAGGCCATAGTATAAGCTCGAAATGTGGGAGACAGATCACCATAAGAAACATAAGCAGAGATCGGATATAAAATCTTGGCGGTCCAACCATATCGATCAACTGGACGGCGATCACGCCGTGGATAACGACGCCCTAAAGCACCATCCTCTACTGATAATATCTTATCAGGTAAAGGAACTGGCTCAGCACCTGTAATCTCATCAGTACTAACAACAGGTACATCAATATGCTCAACAAACTGAGAAGTATTACCTGCATCGCCTGAGGTAAAGGGGATATCAGCAGGGTGATGAGAGCGAGGACAACGATCATACACCTGCAAAGGAAGAGAGACTGGTAACTCTGTACTGACAGGGATGAGTGACTCCTTTGGAGGAAAAACGGATGACCCTGCAGGGATAGTGATCAATGACTCTGACTCTTGTGGTAATGGAAAATCAAAGGGAGTATCATCAACTGGAGGGGCAGACAAAGGACTGAAAGGAAAATAAGGAATATGCTCAAGAAAGGTAACATCTAGACTGTGATACATACGACGCCTAATAGGATCATAACATCGATACCCCTTAGATTGATGACAATAGTCCACAAAGATACAACGAATCGCTTTATCATCAAGTTTATGACGAGTAGGAGACCGATCCTGAACAAAACATGTGTATCCAAAAACACGAGGGGGGACCGGAAAAAGTGTCCGCTCAGGAAATAAGACCTGTAAGGGAGCCTTATGCTGAAGAACACGACTCGGCGTACGATTGCACAGAAAGGTAGAAGTCAAAACAGCAAAATGCCAATAAGATTTTGGTACCCTCATGCCTCTAAGCAGACAACGTACCATCCCTATCAAACTCCTATTTTTCCTCTCAGCAACACCATTTTGCTCAGGAGTATATGGACAAGTGAGTTGCTGAAGGATACCCTGAGAAGAAAGGTGAGACACTAAAGCATCAGACACATATTCTTTGGCATTATCCGAACGAAGAGCACGAACAATGACATCGAATTGTGTCTTAATCATCTGTAAAAACTGAGTGATTATAGGGAGCACATCAGACTTCTTATGCAAAAGGTAGACCCAAGTACAACGGGTATGATCATCTATAAATGTCACATAATATCTGGCACCTGACAGAGCAGTAACGGGAGAGGGTCCCCAAATATCAAAGTGTATTAGGTCAAATGGCTTGGGTGACTGGTGCATGCGAGGAATATAATTGGCCCTAACATGTTTTGATAGGGAACAGATAACACAATCAAGTTTACCACCAACACAAGCATTACTCAAAGCAGGAAACAACATACATAAATATTTAAAATTTGTATGTCCAAAACGGTCATGCCACAATTGAACAGTTTGTGACGAAAAATCATAACGACAACTACTAGGTAAAATACTAGCATGCAAGCTAGGAACAGAAAAAGACAAAGCAGGTGCAGGTGAAGGAATTGGTGAAACTGGAGATGGATTGCCAAGATAATACAGTCCATCTTTCTCATGTCCCTTGATAATAATCCTCCTGGTACTCAGGTCCTGCAAATAACACGAATCAGATAAGAATACAACCGCACAGTGAAAATCTCTGGCTAACTGATGTACAGATAATAGATTCATGGCCAACTTTGGCGCATGAAAAACCGAATGTAATGTAAGGCCATCTGGGAGACGGACTGTACCCCTACTAACAATAGGGGCATGTGTTCCATCTGCTAACTGAACCTGTGTATGTAACGGCTCATCAAAAGTGGTGAAGTGATGGGCCTCACCTGTCATGTGACCATTTGCACCCGAGTCCAACATCCAAAGGGGAGATGAACTGGCACAAGCGTGAAAGGCACGAGATATACCTGTAGTGGTGACAGCAGCAGTAGTCAGACTCTGAGAAGTCAGAGCAGACATAAGTATATCTAATCGGGAAGTGATAGCATCCATATCACTTTGCCAAGGAGGAGCAGTAGCAGGAGTGGCGGTAGTGGGCGGTGGTACCTCAGCAATAGCAACAGTACGGCTGCGAGAAGGTGGCTTAAGCTCTGGATGGAGCTTCCAGCAAGTAGCCCTGAGATGTCCTGGTCGGCCACAATAATCACATTGACGGGAATCCCCCCGTCTGCGCTGATCTGGGGCGCCCTGACGGCGCTGGTCTGAGCGTTGCCCATCCCTGACTGAGGATCCTGAACGGGACCCTACAGCAGCTGCAAGGGCCATCTGGTCAATCGAAGGAGTCAAAGCTGCAACTGGAAGTGATGCAATACGGACTCGACGCTCATGCTGCTCAATCATCCCATACACCTCATAAAGAGAAGGAAGTGTCAACATCGACAAGATCTGAGAACGAGGTCCCTCAAACTCATCACGAAGCCCCATAAGGAACTTGTGAATCCTATCCTCCTGCTCTCGAGTATGCAAGAATGCTGCTCCCTCGGGCTCTATCTTCGGAATAGCAGCAAGAGGACGTAGAGACTCATACTCAAGCCAGCGCTGGGTCAAATAGCCATAATAATCCTGAACGGTCATATCTCCCTGCCGAGCATATGAGAGCTCCTGAGAAAGCTCATAAACACGAACTCCCCGTCCTGACTGAGAATACATCTCTGATAATGCGCTCCATAGCTTCGGAACAGAGCTATGAAACTGGTGGATCCTGCAAACAGAGGGCTCCATTGAGCCAAATAACCATCCAAGAATTGCACAGTTTTCAGAGAACCACGCAGAATATCCAGGGTCGGCATCAGCTGGCTTTGGGTGAGATCCAGTCAGCCAACCAAGCTTCCCTACACGGCCTAAGAAAAGCTGGAATGAGCGTGACCACTCAGCGAAGTTACGACCATTCAACAATTGTGCCGTAACTTTTTGAGAGATCATGCCCGGTAATGCTGGTAATGCAACTGTGCTAGTAGGCACTGTATACTGGTCAAACATAAAAGTGGAAGTACCCATAGATGTCTCAACGGTAGAGGTGTCAACAGTAGGGTTCTCAAGTCCCTCAATAGTAGTCATATCAACAACAATACTAGGGCACCCGTGACAGGAAAATAACTCTAAGATAAATAGAGGAATAAAATAAGGGAGAACAATATACCTTCAGTCGAACAGTAGCGACAAATAAGGAAGGTCCAAAAAGCTCCCAAATAATCAAGTCACGGTGCCCAGAAATCCAATAAATATAAATGATCTACTGCATCAAAAACAAATAAAAGGAGAAGAGGATCCGCTCCCTCCTAAAAAAAAGGATCTAGATACTGCAATCTGGCAGCACTATGACGAAGTGTGCGAAGGACCAAGTTACAACAAAAAAGCAAATAATATTGGTTTGTTGGCTGTACACGTGGGCCTCCTTAGCTGAAAAGCAAAAGGTAAACAATTTTTTTTTTTTTTTTTTTTTTTATAGCTAATTGAGCTAGCGTAGTGTAAAGGTCTGGGCTCTTGACCTTGACAAAAATTTTGAATTCGTGAATATATGCCGAATTAGAAAGTGGGTTGGTTTGATAGAGGCAGTCGGTGGAGGCAGTCGGTGGATTTGGTTTCAGTCGGTGGATTTGGTTTGAATTCGCTGGTTTTGGTTCAGCGGATAGAGGCAGTCGGTGGAGGCAGTCGGTGGATTTGGTTTGAATTCGCTGGTTTTGGTTTAGCGGTATGGAGTCGGTGGCTGTCACGGGTTGCTGGTTTCGCTGGTATGAAGCAGATTTTGATTTCAGTCGGTGGAGACAGGCTGGCCAGTTGGTTTGTGGTTGCTGGGTTGCTGGTTTCGCTGGTTTTGGCTCAGCGGTATGGAGTCGGTGGCTAGGGGCTGGAAGGCAGTGGGTTGCTGGGCCGGTGAGGCAATCTCGGTGGAGGCTAGGTTAGGGAGAATGTTAGGGTTTGAGGTAGGGTTAGTGTATGGCTCTGATACCAACTTGGAATAAACGTAAGTGAAAGGGATTCTCAAATTAAGAGTAGAGCCCCGTATATATATCCAAAAATAATACAGAGTGACTTAAACATCCTTGTAGTTTAGGCAAAATATAAAAATCATAGTAAGGGTAAAAAAGGAAAAAGAAATCCTAATAAACTAGACTATCTATACTCCAACAATCTCAAACAGGAAATGGTCTGTCTAGCTTCATCGTTGGATAATCCTTCCTGTCCCAGAATTTCTTTCCTCATCCCCACCATACACCCATAATTGGCTCACTGCAATCCCTGGTCATCACCCTGCCCTCCCATCATTTGACTCCCTTAACCCATCTTGTGATCCAGAGTCGGCTGGTTAAATGAGACTTCACATAATTGTTCATTTATTGACTGTCCTGACCTGATAATAGTCTGACCTCACCCCAATATTTACTTCCATTATGTTCTCACTTGCACCAGAAACCTTATTTTTCTCTTTTCTCAGTTGCCTTGGCTGCTTTTCAAGCCTCTGGAGCTCCCCACGTGTTAACTGAACTGGAACTTTCCCTTTGTTTGCTCCAATTCTATCTCTCTGATGGACTATTCTGTTATTTATGAAAATCTACAGGCTTCACGAAGGAGTCACTCCTCGAAAGGTGTGGTTGGTAAGGTCTCAAAACAAGTTGCATTGGCCTTTGTCCGCCGTACTCTTGCTAGATGTCAAAAGTTTGAAGACGGTGGCACGAGTTGCTTTAGTGAGCCTAATTTGCGGGATGTTATCTTCTCTGTGCTTCCATCCAACACTGATGTTAATTCTGTTGATTGTATTGGCTCAAAGACCTCTGGTAGTATGTATAATGAAGCACAGAGCCATAAAGCAGAACCTAGGGGTTCAGGTATGTTATTTATTTATCTTGCAATTATAATGGATGCCATATCCTAAAAAATTAATGCCTTTATCACATTTTATCCAAGTAAGAAATGTTGTAACCAATGTTGCCTGGATCGTGGATCGCTTTGGTCCGTGATATGGGTACGTGTACGGGGGTACGACACTTTCTTAAGTACGCAGTACGATGAGGGTAGGCTTAGCTAATACGGTATTTTGGGTCACAATTTGTTTTTGAACTCTTATGTAGATTGTTTTTACCACTATACAATATTATATATCATAGAACATCCATAAACACTATGTCAGTTACTATTTATTTTATATTTGTGCTTGATTTTTATTATGTAAAATAATATATAATTATAAATTTATATATACGTAGTTAATTAATATGTATTTTATATTTGTGCTACGTATACAATTTGGGATCGTATATTTTGGTGATCTAAGATTGCGAACCCATCCGGCTTGGGATCGATGTACCCAGATCATGGGTCATTAGGGATTTAGTGAATTCTGGTAACTCTTGTTGTAACGGGATGATATTTTATGAGGCCCTAGCATATCAGCATAGAATAGCAGCCTCTGACATATTCTTCTTTTGGATTTTGGGAGCTACTGAATCATCACTCTGAATTCTAAGTATTTTTTTCAGCTGTTTATCTGTTTTCATTTGACTCTATAATGCTTGGGTTCCTACTGCAGCCACTGTTGCCGTTTCCAGTCCTTTTGAGAGAAACCATTCTCGTAGTGATAATTTACTGAATGAGGGGAAGAACAAGGAAGTGCTACTTGATAATATACGTAGTGCTTCCTTAAAATCAACATCAGTTCTGGCCAGCACTGCCCTTTGTGAAGTGAAGGGAAAGAGAAGCGGGAGAGCGAGAGATCAAAATAGGAATATGTTGATGAGCCATCGTGTTTCTGGCACTGGTTGCCCATCAGTAGGCACCTTCGGGAGTGACCACACATCAAAAACAAAGCCCAGACAAAATACAAATCATTCGTTCACTTCAGGAAATGGATGTCAGGACACATTAATGGAAGCAACAAATCTTGCCTGCCCATCAGTTAGTGAATCCGATCAATCACTGGCTAAAGTTAGCAATTCATCGCGCAGAGAAGAAGGGCTTCCATCTCCTGTTAACATCACTCGGGATTCATCTAAAGAGGAAGAGGCTGCTGATTTTGAAATGTTGCGGCTAGATGGATTAGAAGAAATAGGTGTGTCCGATGATCCTAGTGGGATTCAAGATCTCGGTACCTGGTTGAACTTTGATGAAGATGGCTTGCAAGATCATGACTCCATAGGTCTTGAAATACCCATGGATGACCTCTCAGATTTGAATATGATAATGTAAAAACAATCATTTATTCATTTTAGTGTTGAATTGAGAGAGCCATTGCTGAGATATAACTGACTAGGAAAGCAATAACATGTGGATCTGAACTTAAAATTTTTAAATTACATTCTTTTCATACCTTTTTAGGATATCATTGCAGTATTCTTATTGAGTATGCGATCTGAGATATTCACCCTCAGTATAAAATCTTTTCGTCTCTGCAACTTACTAATTATTTCCATTATTGTTGGCTTTTTCACTCCTGGGCTAGTTGGTTTTTTTCCCTCATTCTTTCACCTTCCTCTCTCTGATCTACTTGTGGGCAAGACATTTTGCTAGTTTCAGGTTCGAGGGTACTTTCTATGGGATCCGTTTTTGTTTTATTGGCGGGATTTTACTATTGGTTAGGTAAAATCTTTGGTCGGACATACCTTAAAATATTAGGTCAAATCCATTTTTTTATCACTTGTTGTGGGGTGAATCTGACCTTTTTTCCCATGCATTTCTTAGGGCTTTTGGGTATGTCATGTCGCATTCTAGATTATTCAGATGCTTACGCTAGATGGAATGCCATTAGTAGTTCTGGCTCTTATATATCTGTAGTTGTTCCATTAGTAGTTCTGGCTCTTATATATCTGTAGTTGGGATTTGTCGTTTCTTTGTAATCGTAACAATCATGTTAAATAGTGAAAAGAACAAAAGATGTGCTCCAAGGCTTTGGGCTGTTGAACAGAATCCAACCACATTGGAATGGATGAAACAAAGTTCTCCAGCTTTTCATACTTTTGAAGAACTTCCAGCTATCAAGAAGACACGGAAAGATCTTATCTCCAAGCCTGAGTAAGAATGTGTACATATGAGCCTCCTCCACATTCTTCGCAATGGCAGATTTCTCATATTCTGAGCTGAGTTCCCTTTTTGTGTTTTGATGTTTTTGTAGTTACCCACCACCACTGTTACAGATCTTTTTAAAAAACAATGAATTCAGATGAGGTTGCATCCCTGGCCTTCCTGATGACCAAACCTTTCTACACTCCATAAATGTACCCAAAAACAAATTAGCAAAGGGAATTGCAAAATCACTTTGCATTAATAGGAGGCTCATACTCTGAACTGCACACTGGAATATTTTGCTTGGGGAATAAGATGAACATCGCTACATTTATCAAACTATTTAGCAAATTTTGTATACTAAATCATTGTAAGTGGTTGGATTAGTGGGTCTTACTGACTCCTATTAAACGCATAAGATTGTGTTACATCATTTAGTATGCAATATTTGGTAAACACATTTGAAATGCACAGTTTCTTTCAACTTTTGAGTAGCTCGCTACTGTATGTTAGCTCAAGTTGTAAGTCAAGTAGTGGAGATTCAGTGAAAGACAGAAAGAAGAGTTAGACTGAAATATAAGAATGAATCTAAAAAAAGTTTGCTACCGCAGTCAGGATTGCGACTTTGTAGATTTTCAATAAATGATATACGTCAAAATCTCATTTGGTTTACCCGGGCTATACCCCTATGTATTCTACTCGTATGGATGTATATATCATTTATAGGAGCATGATTTAGGAAACTTTTGTCTGCTCATTTTTGTATCCAGAACATCCTGTGCTGGAGGAATGAACTCAAAGTAAATGAATAGGACTGAGCAACCACTCACTTAAATAGCAGGCAGGCATGTTATATAGACTATGGCTGCCAACTGGAACATAATAGGAAAAATGAGGATTGGCTTTTAGAATAATTTGGCTTATTGATGTACTTCTAGTTCCAATAGCCCAATAACCATGAGGTTGTGGGTTTGACCTCGAGGGTAACCATTTTTCAATGCTAAAAAGTTAGATATGTGAGATCAATTTCGTTTAAAACTCATATCTCGTTTAGAACCCATTAAAAGAGACTAAATTGGGTGTGTAAATTTTGAATTAGAATTAAAGTCCAGCATTGAAAAAAATAACGTTATGATCGTACTTGATATCGATGTGGGATGATCGAGCTAATTTTTGCATGCATTAAGTTAAGGTCACGCATACAACTTAAAATCCCGTGTCAAAAAAATAGTGAGAGAAGGGACGATAAATATTACACATTTGATCGATTCAATTATGCGTAAGCTTAAGCTTTTAGGTATTTGACTTTCTAAACTATCTTATATAGATGGATCTGCAAGTCAATTTAAATGTGATTTTTTTTTCCTTAAAATTAGGGCTTGTTATACAATTTTTTATGAATAGAAGCATATGGTGCACTCCACTGCTTTTGCATCTGTCTGCGACCAACAGTCTTGTTATAATACTGTTAGTTTCTTATACATTCATAATTGTCACTTCTTCATACAATGTCTTAAAAAAAATGAATAATATCACGCAAGTAAGCAAAACTTGTACTTCTGGTGACGTACTATCAAGTTTATATCGTATATAATTTGTCATACAATTAGCTAACTTATAGGTTAGAGCCAAAGGAAATTGACTACAGTGCTCGAAAAAAAAATCAGTACCGTACTTCTAAACTTTATTATTTTAATGGTTGTGTTTTACAACTTTTGTGGAGTCGTTTTACAACAAAAAAATTACAACTTTTATAGGGAATTTATTAATTTTACCATTTTCAGGATAAATACCACAAAAATGATAAAAATAACAAAAAAAGTGATAAAAAATTACAAAAAAAGGTGATAAATATTTTCCAATTTTTTTTTCTCCATACTGTAGACCTGTCATATCCAAAGACATGGTTAATGATGATGCAGGGCCGAAGTTTTTGTCGGCAGCTAAACGGNATCTGTAGTTGTTCCATTAGTAGTTCTGGCTCTTATATATCTGTAGTTGGGATTTGTCGTTTCTTTGTAATCGTAACAATCATGTTAAATAGTGAAAAGAACAAAAGATGTGCTCCAAGGCTTTGGGCTGTTGAACAGAATCCAACCACATTGGAATGGATGAAACAAAGTTCTCCAGCTTTTCATACTTTTGAAGAACTTCCAGCTATCAAGAAGACACGGAAAGATCTTATCTCCAAGCCTGAGTAAGAATGTGTACATATGAGCCTCCTCCACATTCTTCGCAATGGCAGATTTCTCATATTCTGAGCTGAGTTCCCTTTTTGTGTTTTGATGTTTTTGTAGTTACCCACCANATAACAGTTTTTAGGCACTTTTCTGTTTTATCCCATTGATTGGGGTATTTTCATAATACTTGCTTATTTGCTTGATCCTTCTGGTAATTTAGGACCATTGGAGTTTTGTAGTTCTATGGTCTTGAAAACTGATTCTGCAACTGTGGTTTTATTTTGAATAAACGTAGAGACGAATTCTCTTTTCTTCCCAATTGATTTGGTATTTTTCGTGAATCAATAAGACTCTAGAAGGCTTTAATCTGATATTATTACTATAATTAGCAGGTTATAGTTTCTGTTGTTTAATTTCGTTTGTTTATTCGTGCTACCCTACAAAAAAACTAACGATAAACCAAAACCTAATCTGTAAACGACATATGATTAAAATAAGGAGAGATAACTAGGTCACCATCTAATTACACAAAAATCTAATAATGACAAATATTAATGCCACCCTGCTTAATAGTTTAATTTGTAATGCTGATAATGGAACCAAAAGCAGATAATCTATAAAGTACAGATTAGGTATTTATCAACTTTAGAGTTTTCTTTAACAAATCTGGCATAGAAGGTGAGTGTGTGTTGGTTTTCTTCTTGTCTTCTGCTTTATATAGATGCTGCAAAATCTGAACAGAAGAATATAAACGAAGAAAGATAGACATCTGAAGGTTTCCTGAGACATGGCTAAACAAGAATATCACGGGGTCGAGCTTGAGAAATATACCTAGTGAGACTCGAAGCCGCGATCTCTTGATCATCACAAGTCAAATGCATTACGCTTTTGCATAATTAGCTAAAGGGTAGTTAATTCTTAAACATTAACAATGTTTGTATATTTCATTAGAACCGAATCGCAAGCTCCATTCTATCAAGTAGAGTGGCATATAATTCAGACTCGACTCAAATCTTGATCAAATTTTAAAATTTGATCATATTCCATTTATTTTCTTATAAGAATGAGATTAAAAGACTTTGTTCATATTCATTTGACAGACCTAGTCAAAACTCTCGAAACTTGGGGTCAATATAAGGGAGATGAGATGAATCTACTAGGTCCATGCACTTTGTGTGTGAAACACACACACACACACACACACATACACACACACACATATATATATATTGTGAGACGAGACAATATGAATCCAACTTCTAATTCACCCATTTTTTTTTGGTCATATGTTAGCACACATCCAACCGAAAAGATTAAGAGTTATATTATTGAAATCTAAAAAATTGACCCATAATAATATTTTTGTTTGGCAATATAATGATGTGTCGAGTGATAGAGTTCAATAGTTATAATCAGAACAATACTATTGAAACATGTCAATATCACATTATTAAGTCAACAATTAGGTTAATTTTTTAAAACTCAATAACATTACTCAAAGTTTAAACGACCTACACAAGTGTTGATACCGTTGATAAACTAATGGACACATCTAATCCGAGCCCGTGACAATATTTTCTGAAAATTTTAGCCCTTCCTTGATTTGTACATGTCATTCTTGCACAAGGGGACGTAAACACCATGCACAAATCTTTGCAAGATTTCGGAATTCCAGGGTGTTTGTTATTCTTATCACTGAAACATGGACCTCATTAAATGTATAACTGATATGGCCTTCCTCTTTTATTTTCTATTCCAAACCGACTAAACCTCTCTCTCTCTCTCTCTCTCTCTCTCTCTCTCTCTGGCCTTTGTGCACTAGAATAATCACCCTCCATAACCTCTTCGTGACAGAGAAAAGAGCAACAACCCACCGCTCTTTTCTTTGCAATAATGTTTCTGTAGAATTCCCACTTGGAAGAAGACAACATTCTTCAATGTATTTTCTTTCTCACAACCACTTCATTTTAATAAACAACCCATCTTTCTCTCTCTTCTCTCCACCTTTTTTTTTTCTTTCTGGTCACCCTCTATGTGCAAGACAGATAAGTACATTCTACATCAAAACTAGTTTGTTTCACTAAAGTAGAAGTGGTGCTGATTCGACCAAATAGCGTAGCCGGAAGAGAGAGCATAGTATTAAAACAGGTAACTCATATTTAATATGATATATGCAGAGATACGTCAAATTTAAAGATAATGAGTCAATTATCAGAACACAATTATATGGAGTAGAAACTTCAGAATTTGCCCTACTTAGGGTTATAACTTATATATATTAAATTGTAACACTATTTTTATAGTGCATGGAATAAAAAATAACACAATAATTCTCTCGTAGACATAAACAAGTTAATGAACTACATTAAATTATTATATTTATTTTTATATTTTTTATATTTTTTTAATTGTTCGTAGCACAAAAATCTACACACATATCCACAGAAACAAGAGAGTACAAGGTCTTGTCCTTTATTTAGAAAACTTATGAATGGCCATCACATCACATGCGTTATTTTTAGGCCAAAAACACACCATTTACCTAGTTTTTTTTTTTTTGCCGGGGGGATCAATTTTTTTTGAACCCGACAAGAACTCGAAAATAACACAATTAGTTGACACGAATAATAAATTAATTAAATTAAAATTTAACAAGAATAACACGATTAATAAGTACTATAGATAAAAAATAACTATTTAACGAGTATTGTAGATAAAAAATAAGAATTTTATAATTTTTTAAATAATATTATATTAATTGTTATCAAATTAAATAATTTTTTATTAACACGAATCCGACACGTACCAAAAATGATACGACACAAAAATAACACGATCGAAAATGACACGACATGATTAACACCCTAATTTTTCGTTTCATTTTCGTTATGCTGGGTATTTGGATAATTTCAAATTCCAAGTGGCTTGTTTTAATGTATTTCAAACTGCTACTATTTCTTATTTAAATCGGGTTATAAAACTTTTTCAGCAGCTGTGTTATTTTCTTAGAAATCATTTTCTCTTCTTTTTTGGGTATTACAATCAAGAATGTCCAAGCCAAACTGATGTACTCCTCAACAAGGGCGGAGTCAGAAATTATGTCTAGAGTTGACATTTTATTAAAAAATTTTAATTTTTTTTCTTCTAATCAATAAAAATAAAATAATATATTCAAATTTATTATATTGTATTCGATATTTAAAAATTCATAAAATACGAAAAAGGTGAAATTTTGATAAATATAGCATACATAAATTAAAACAAACAAAAAAGAGAGACTAATTATACCCCTTCATAACAAATTAAGCAAACTACATAAAAGATATTATTATATTTCTCCATATATATGATCAAACTATTATTCATTGATCACTCATTTAATTAAGTAACCTAGTTGTCATAATCTCTATAGTTTTTTTTTTTAATTGGAATCTCTATAGCTTAAAAACAATGAGTTCGACATGTCAAAAACTTATATAGATGTATCCATAAATAAGACTATTAATCAAACTGAGCTACTCGAGCTTGGCTTGAGTTCGGCTCGTTCAGGCTCGGTTTATTTTCTAAACGCACCCGAACTTGAACAAGTTTTTAGACTCGTTTAAAAAACAAACCCTGTAAGTTCGGCTCAAACTCCACAAACTCGGCTCATTTATGTGCAAATACTTGGGCTTAGCTCGGCTCGTTTCCTAAACGAGCCGAAGTTACACAATTTTTAAGGCTCGATTAAGAAACAAGTTTTTCAAGCTCGACTCGGACTCGTTTGAGTAACAGCCCTATCCATAAAGTGTCCAAAGTGTGTCAAAAAATTCATAATTATTTAGGTACGAAAACTATACTAATTGATAGAATAAAAAATGATAGAGTAAACACACTTAAATATATTTCAAATTATTTGAAATATACAAATAATATTTAAAAAAAAAATTTGAGGGCGGGCACGGTCCTCAAGTAGCTCCGCCCTTGCTCCTCAACTAATCATCCCCCCTCCTCACTCGATCAAAAATAAATTATTCACCCCGAGACTAAGAAATTCATGAAGAATAAATTTTTCGTGACTTGACTCCAAAGGAGCTGCTAAGTTTCAAAATCATTCTCTTTATCCANGTTCGGCTCGTTCAGGCTCGGTTTATTTTCTAAACGCACCCGAACTTGAACAAGTTTTTAGACTCGTTTAAAAAACAAACCCTATAAATTCGGCTCAAACTCCACAAACTCGGCTCATTTATGTGCAAACACTTGGGCTTAGCTCGGCTCGTTTCCTAAACGAGCCGAAGTTAAACAATTTTTAAGGCTCGATTAAGAAACAAGTTTTTCAAGCTCGACTCGGACTCATTTGAGTAACAGCCCTATCCATAAAGTGTCCAAAGTGTGTCAAAAAATTCATAATTATTTAGGTACGAAAACTATACTAATTGATAGAATAAAAAATGATAGAGTAAACACACTTAAATATATTTCAAATTATTTGAAATATACAAATAATATTTAAAAAAAAAATTTGAGGGCGGGCACGGTCCTCAAGTAGCTCCGCCCTTGCTCCTCAACTAATCATCCCCCCTCCTCACTCGATCAAAAATAAATTATTCACCCCGAGACTAAGAAATTCATGAAGAATAAATTTTTCGTGACTTGACTCCAAAGGAGCTGCTAAGTTTCAAAATCATTCTCTTTATCCAAATGGCCCTTATATTCTCAAAATCAATAAAGCTATGGAAAATATTTAGTCTAGTTGTCGATTATTGTCACATATGATCAATGATTTAAAATTTGCACATAAAATTTCATTTTATATTTCACTAGATAAACGAAATGACATCGAAGATATTAGAAAGCTGAAGTAAAAAAGAAGAAAAAAAATTAAAGAAAAACGTTGTATCTCCTTCAAAGTTGCCTGAAGAACTCCAACAACCCCAAAGACAGTGCGAGGTTGCGGGTTTTGATCATCAAGATAGCTACCTGGCTAGCTTCATCTTGATCACAAGTTCGAGAAATGGTTCTGCGACGATTGCACCATTTGCAAATCCGTGGATGTTTGACAAGAGTTATCATCACTGATCAAAGTCCTGATAGATATTCAAGTTAAACATTAGTTACCAAGATACATAAAGAAGCAAGACAACAAAATGAGGTAACAATCAAACAACAAAAGGTAGAAAATACAAATAAGATGAAGTTGTCTACACCTAATGCCCCTCTATTTATATATCATGGTGGTTATGCTTGCATGCATGTCAGAACTGCAAAGAAGATGAGCTAGTTTATGACTCAAAATCAATATATCATAGTTGCTGTGTTTGCATACACTTGCGTAAAATTTCCCAAATTCCAAATGCATTATTTTCGTGATATGGATTTGGTAATTGACATGAACATCGGGAAGACGAAAATGAAAATAAATTACACTTCTATAGTTTGTGAACTTTTGTATGTGGTAATAAAAAGTTCAAAAAAAAAGAAACTTCATTCACACCAATGTTTGTGTAAGTAAAAAGTAGAAACAAGTTCTCAATTCCACATTAATAATTTTTTTTTTTTCTCTTTTCTTGTTTTCTCATGCGATACCAATAAATTTTATTTAAAATATTGCATCATTCTCCCTATACACCACTATTATCATTATCGTCACATGTATGGTCATGTTAATTGTTGTTATTAAAATGGAGAATAAATTTGCCTGTATGCTTCTAAGTATACTCTATTGAACGAAGAATACATTGCCAAAAAGATTAATAATCTTGCCCAAAGACTTTTTTCGACTCTCTTTTACCTTTCTCGCAATAATGAAAAAGGAAACCCTTATCTGCCCTAGCAAAGAAAACTCTATAGAAACTGTCCCTCTAGCCCTTCCTAATTGAAGTTGCTACTAAACACACCCTAAGATATATTTGGAGCACACATATATATAGGGATATTTGTATCCAATACTCTTACTCTCGTGGTCGAGATGCCCAAAGGGAACTTAGGGCTCGTAATCGAGCATAGTACTCGCCAATCACCAAAAAACATCGCGCTGCTTGCCTTACTGTCAATATCCGGCACAGTTGATGAAGTGTTTGCTGNTGGAGCACACATATATATAGGGATATTTGTATCCAATACTCTTACTCTCTTGGTCGAGATGCCCAAAGGGAACTTAGGGCTCGTAATCGAGCATAGTACTCGCCAATCACCAAAAAACATCGCGCTGCTTGCCTTACTGTCAATATCCGGCACAGTTGATGAAGTGTTTGCTGCCTTAGATTATCAGCCTGCATTTCGAAAATAAAAATAATTAGTAAGACTGAACCCATCACAAATAAAAAAAAAAAATCTAAAAAATGAAAACCAAACTACAACCATCATGTGGAAGTTGAGATGGGTCCCTAGTACAAAAACGCATGGGCATAAACTCTAAACAAGCTTCCAAAAGGGTTGAAACCCATGGAGTTGTCTTATCTGTGAGAGTTGGACTATTGCAATCATGGGTTTAAAAAAACAGATATTTTACAAAATGTTCAACTAACTTGTCCATATAATACTCTCCCAAAACAATTATAAGCATTTTGTTGATAGGTCTTGCAAGGGCTTTTATTTCAACGATGTCATTGTCAAAGCACCTTCCGATAATAACATGTCAGATGGAAGATTACATCAAACACATATTCTAATTCTACATGGTATAATAAAGGAATTACTTTGACAACAAAGCAATGTATATTCACCACAAAATCATCCGTAGTAATGAAAATACAACAAGCCTATAAAATCATCCGTAGTAATGAAAATACAACAAGCCTATAAAGGTTAACAATATCATCCATAACATACGTAAAGCAGGCATATATATTAACGACAAAATCTTTCGTATAAATGAAATAATAAAATGATCCATCATACACGCACGTCAAGCATGCAGTTGCAAAGATCCATGAATTAGTTGTATGAACAGTTGAATGAAATAATAAAGTTGGCCAAGACATGACACTGATCCTGATCAATAGATGTATCTAGGTCGTTCAGGATTGTTGTGATCATCATGAAGAAAGCATTTATCAGACAGTGAGATCAGTCTTGCGTATACTTGACATATGCGAGAGCATATCTTGATGACTAACTGAACCTTCTGAACATGGTTTGTAGATATTCTTTGTCTTTTGTTGCAAGAAGTCAATGGAGATTTTACACTAATTGTATTGATGTAAACTGGAATGGAACACTGTACTAGTGGTTATGTAGCCCATCAATGTGAGCTGTCTTAGCTTTAAGGTTACCCTTTTGTTTCTTTTTGTGAGTGATTAAATCACCTAGATAGACCGATAAATGTCACCTCACTTTTGCATATAACTAACCATCAAAAGTGTTCACACCTAAGTAATTTGATAAAGCATTGAAAGATTATAACCTCAGAGAGTATTGATGTGTGTCATTTTCCCCATTCTTGGTAGGTAAGGAAATATTCCCCCAATAACATCTTAGGTGTGAAGGAAAGGAAAGCTTTTCTTTTTTGGCTGACGAAAATGGTAAGAGGGGGCGGCGATCAGTTGTGGAGACTCTATCAGAACATGACCTTAGTAGGCCCAGGAACCAACGACATGGATTCTTACATGATTGGGTGAACCACAGGCACTTATTCAAGCGGGTTGAGTCATAGTCGCATCCCATATCCAGGAGTGTTAGTAGCTCNAGGCCCAGGAACCAACGACATGGATTCTTACATGATTGGGTGAACCACAGGCAATTATTCAAGCGGGTTGAGTCATAGTCGCATCCCATATCCAGGAGTGTTAGTAGCTCCAGCATAGGAGTAGTCACATCATAGGACAAGGACATCTCATGCCATCGTCCCCGCAACTCAAAGTCTCAAACCCTTAACTACCTTGTCTGCAGATGAAATTTCACCTTCTAATGCTTTTGCCACTACACTATCACTCTCAGTGTTACGGAAAGCAAATTAACTAATGACGCGGGTTGACATGCCTGGACAGTGTATAGTAAGGCAGTTTTAATTGCGACCAAACCATATATAGGAGCAGAAAGATGTGCCACGATCCACTTATATCAATGTAGACCAGTGTAAGAATGAATGTAATTGGTTTACCTGATGAACAAAACCTTCGAGACTGGCTAGCTTCCCAAGAGCAACAACCATATGATGCATACCATCATTGACAGAACCACTAGCCATTGTGTCGATAAGGGACTGTTGAAGCTGGTCTAATCCCTGGGACAGGGCTTCCTCTGCCTGTTGTGAGGAATGCTGGAGGCCGTAAATTCCTACGATTTGCTGCTCCGTTAATGGGTCTAATTGTGTGATTAACATCTGAAACAGCATCAAACTCACAATAAGTCAAGGGAAAGACACAATTTACATTTGGGAAACAAATGAGTCACACATGAAAATAACAATATGGAGTCATATATCAGGGGTCCCACTTCTTGAAAATAGAACATGATTATTTGTTTGAGGAAAATGTTATCTACCCACAGGCCACAAAAAGATGAAAGAATAGAGGATGCATTTGAAATAGCTTCGGTCGAATGTTTAGTTGTTGAAATGGCAAGTCATATTGGCATGCCTCATCAGCAAGTAAAAATATCGAGTCAATATTGTTGGTTTGTATAGCACTAATCTCATGAATCTCTTTCCGAATGGGAAAATGACTTTAGGAGAGGAATCATCCTCAGCATTAAAATTCTTGCCAAAGTCATCGTCGATTCCACAAATTACTGTCCTATTTTTCTTATTCAACTTTTTGAATAAATGCGTTGAAGCGTATTGTTCTTTAAAACGGGCAGTCTAAGTGAGCATATTCTAGNGCCAAAGTCATCGTCGATTCCACAAATTACTGTCCTATTTTTCTTATTCAACTTTTTGAATGAATGCGTTGAAGCGTATTGTTCTTTAAAACGGGCAGTCTAAGTGAGCATATTCTAGCAAACAAGTAGCTTAAATTTAAACCTTAATTAGCTCAGAGGGCCGAAAACCACCAATCCAGAGGAAGCAACGTTCAGCTGGAGTAGTCCACATTCCAGTAATAATGTGGAAGACATCGGATTTGGCAGCAACTCCCTTGAGGCGGAACATTTCATCACAATGGGCAATATATCCATCTACTATTACCCTGAGATCACCATCCAATAATTGTGCTTGCAACCCCGTTCTAAGCTCCAACATGTGCCTCTGATCATCATCTAACCATCTTGCATATTCCATATCAAATATTGCAGCACCTGCAATAAAAGTAGTTAAGTGTCTCTTGTGTTTTAGATTTAACACATCACCCATGATAACGTGACATCCAGAGCGTCAAAGCACTAGCGCAGATTGATGGTACATTTTCCCTCTTAGTTACCCCTTCTTCAAGGTCACCGAGATAACATCTTCCATGGCACCACTCTTATAAGACCATAAAAAGTAAATGCCAACTTAAACAAATGACAACAATGAGACGGATCATCTTCGGAAAAGATCCCACCCAAATTGTTTTACTAGGATTTACTTGAGAGCTCTACTCAAACTCTGGACAATTTTTTCTTGAAATCGTACAAAAAGTCTTAAGAAACTTTGGTCCCATTAATGTATGATGTTTTTCACATAAAATCTTACAAAAATGAAGAGAAAAATAAAATAATGGAACAACTTCTAAAGTACAAAAACTTAGAACTACTAACATTTGAAATGTGGTGCTGGTATAACTTTTTTTGGTAAATGTAGCATTGCTCTTTGACTAAAACTTGATTTGAAAAATTTGAGTCGAGGGTGCACGCACGGTCATAATCGGCGGATTAGTAGAACAAAGTCATACCTAGTGCNCAACTTCTAAAGTACAAAAACTTAGAACTACTAACATTTGAAATGTGGTGTTGGTATAACTTTTTTTGGTAAATGTAGCATTGCTCTTTGACTAAAACTTGATTTGAAAAATTTGAGTCAAGGGTGCACGCACGGTCATAATCGGCGGATTAGTAGAACAAAGTCATACCTAGTGCCCCTAAAGAAACAAGGTTTGACATTTCAATTTCTCTGTTTATTCCCTAGGGATTAACAAGGAATTAGTCATTCATTTTGAAAATAACCAACATTATCATTATAACTAGATTTTTAAATCCAGTGGTCATGGTTTGCCTTTGCCAGAAATCTATGGGTAGGACTTGGAAACTATGCGGTTGGTACTTAAGGCTGGAAAAGCTTACACTAGTTGGGAATATCTCTATACATGCCTTGATCCCTATGTATATGATATTTTGTTCATCCCCAGGGCACAATGCAAATTACCCTTTGCACCCATTTTCCATGAAAAGGCCTCGATGAGAGATGGGTAATTTGGTAAAATCACTATATAAATATGGACTCACCAGAGCTTATATTCCCAGAAGCACCACCACCTCCTCCTCCCAAGAACAATCCCTGTTATCCAAAATAATCATTGATTACAGCTAATAAAATAGTAAAACATCCATTATTCTTCTATCTTTTAACTTCCAAAACTGGTATAAGACTACTGTATTGTACTGAAATTAATCTACACTCTATTGAAATTAATCTGCACATACTAAAAAAAAAACAAAATACGTCTAAATAAAAAAAATTTACTTTTTGGTACCATAATTGAACCGTGAAACTGCTTTAACTTAAATGTGTGAACCTGAGATCGAGCTCGTTGAAGGTCTTGCTCTATCTGAGTGAGCCTTATCCTACTTGACTCTAGCTGCTGTACATACGCCTGCCCAAGTTTATATGTGTAGAGAGAGATAGAGAGAGATGTCAGTGGATAAGTGAGTGTAGAATAGGAAACTTGCCGGAAAATGAAACTTCCGGCGACATATTGTCACCGGAAACCGACACACACCTTCTTTCTGAGTCTGCTCTTCCTTGCTGCTTCTCTGTTTTGAGCTAAACGTCTCAATGTCTGTAGCCAGTAAACACATTTTTAGCTTCAGAATTCACTTTTTTCTGAGCTAATTCAACAACAATGTATGTACATAGAAAAATCAACAAGAAAAGTCTGGCATTAAAAGACATATATCACTACCTTAGCATCAAGTGCCTTCTCTGATGTTGAACCACCACCCTTTCTCTGCAACAGTCAGAAGAACCAAAAAACCAATAAAATTCCTTATTCATCTAAGCTAATCTACTAATATAGTAAATATATTTCCTTTTCTTTTTTTTTTTTTTTGGGGGAGGGGTGTGTGTGGAGGGGTTGGTTGGGAGAGACTGTATTTTAAAAAGATTGAACATTTTTGCTTTCTGTGTTGATGTGATTACTGTTCTTCAAACAATTGATGATAATTATTAGATGGACTAATGCACATTATGATCTCTCAGTAGCCTAGATTTGGGTGCTCTAATTCCAAAATGGATTAAGGTCATAAAAAACAAGGAGTTAAACTACAGTTCTAGGGACTGAGTAAAAGGGCTCATTATTATACAAAGACAAGAAAAGATAGAACTGGTAACTGCGGTAAAGATTCTATCTTTTTCTTTCAGATAGGGAGCTGGGGTACAATTCTTTCTCCCCTCAACCCCTTATTTCAAGTCAGACATGAAATCAGAAAATCACTCAGGAATCAGAAGAACTCTGCCTTCAATTGATTTTCTTGTAGTTGTTGGGATCTGTGAATTTGTCTGTGGAGAGAGAGAGAGAGAGATGACAACATTAAAAGATGCCACTTTTTTTCTGAGTTTTGGGATATGTAAAGAGGGAAAAAAAAAAAGAGAATTGAGAGAAGGGGAAACAGTCCAAGAACCTTTTCTGGGGTAGGATTGGAAACTGGTATAGTCTGTGATACACCTGTTCTTGGGCTGTCACTTGCCATCTCTTCTTGTTCTTCTTGTTGTGATAGCTGAAGATACTTTTCATCAAGAGATTCTGACTCCAACTGGGCCTCAGTTTTACTTGAAAGTCTGTTAGCTGCTGATCCTGAATCACTACTTCCTTCTGCTGACTTTGAACTCCCCTGGATGAAAGAAAAAAGGCCCAACAAAATGAGCCAACTGGCTATCCAAAAATCATCCAAATGATTTAATAATCACATCCCATTCAATGGACACTCAAGATCACCTCCAACTGTCACTTTTTTATGAACACTCCAAAAAAACCACCCCAGAAATTAAAGTTGAGCAAAGCTTCTTATTATAAGGTTTGAAGTTTAAGTTTGTTTGTTTGTGTGAAACTGGGAGGCCCATATAGAAACAAAAAGTCAAAGATAGGAGAGAGAGAGAGAGAGAGAGAACTACTCCTGGGGTTTGATGAAATCTCATAGACCAAGAAGGGAACATCTCCAAAGTAGCTACTGCAGCCCTGTCTGTTTATAAAGCTGCACAGAATCACAAAAGCAAAATCTCTTAGTACCAGTGAAAAAGAACCTTTTAGAACTCATAAAGGAGAGGAACCAAATCCCTCTTTTTTTCTCTTTTCCCTGCAGTTATGGAGTAAGTANCCAAGAAGGGAACATCTCCAAAGTAGCTACTGCAGCCCTGTCTGTTTATAAAGCTGCACAGAATCACAAAAGCAAAATCTCTTAGTACCAGTGAAAAAGAACCTTTTAGAACTCATAAAGGAGAGGAACCAAATCCCTCTTTTTTTCTCTTTTCCCTGCAGTTATGGAGTAAGTAAATCATGCAGAGAGGTCAAGTTTCCTTGTTTACAACTCCACGCCATTCAAGTCCCATCTCCCAAATGATTTCTATATTGGAAATGGTAA